GAAGCGCTGTCTTTCCGACAGTTCTGTTTCTTCACCTGAGGAAGGCTACTTGTGTTGTGGCCAAAACCTCGTGAGAATTTTATTTTCATGTTTTTATTTTTATTATTTTATTACTTCCCTTCTACATGACTTTACCGAAAGAACCAAGAAGATTAATCCCTGCAGTCACGAAAGCTTTAAATCGAAATTGTATGGTTTGTTTGTTTTGTTTACTATCGGAGGAAAGCAGAGGCACCTAGAAAAAAAACCCAACGCAGAACAAGGAGAGAGAGCAGAGAGAAAACAGAAAAACACCCCAGTCGAGAATCTAACCCAGGCGCTTCTTTGCTCTGGGGCAGGAGTGTTACCACTGCACCACCCAGCCACCCATTGTTGCTCTTGCATGAATCCTACTGAATGCGACCAGAGTAGAGGTTTATGTTCGGTTCACTCTGGGAACCGTGCACTTGCCAACTCTGTTTACATACGGCACAGATTACGCTATCCAGACTGCATATGTATTGTTTGTACGTTCACGAAATAAGGATCCATCACGGATATTTTGGGTCAAATCGCGTGAAGATAAATTTGTCGTTAAACCCGCTACCACCCAACACAGCCAATTAGTAAGGTTTGTGTTGGAGAGTAAATCCAGAACATTTACATTAATAAAACATTTGCATTTGTAAATGTTTTTTTTATTCCTCCGGTTTTATAAATCTGTCTGTCGCTTGATGATACCGGTTGTAATTACTGGCGAAACGTCGTACTCAAATTGTAAATGTTGTAGATTTGCTCTCCAACACACCGGTGTGCTGTACTAGTGACGAATTGGCATGTTTTGTTTATGTGACAACCCTTACTAGTTGGCTGTGTCGGGTGGTGGCGGCTTTAACGACACATTTATATATTTACGCGATCTAACAAAAAAACTGTATTATGGATGATATTGTTCGCGAAAGCCTACGACGTGTTAAACATTCATAAATGCTAACCGCAGCACCACCACTGGCATCCGCTCAACGCACGCCCGCTCACTCGATAAGCGGCAACCGATGCCTCGACCAAGACAATGTATCGCATTGACTTCCACTTACTCTCGTCAAGCTCAGAAAAGGAAAAATGGGCAAGAGTAAGCTCAAGAGCACTCTGCAGACACACACACTCTGCAGACACACACACACTCTGCAGACACACACACACTGCAGACACACACACTCTGCAGACACACACACTCTCTGCAGACACACACACACTCTGCAGACACACACACACTGCAGACACACACACTCTGCAGACACACACACTCTCTGCAGACACACACACTCTCTGCAGACACACACACACTCTGCAGACACACACACACTCTGCAGATACACACACTCTGCAGACGCACACTCTGCAGACACACACTCTCTGCAGACACACACACTCTGCAGACACACACACTCTCTGCAGACACACACACTCTGCAGACACACGCACACTCTGCAGACACACACACACTCTGCAGACACACACTCTGCAGACACACGCACTATGCAGACACACACACTCTGCAGACACACACACACACTCTGCAGACACACACACTCTGCAGACACACACACACTGCAGACACACACACACTGCAGACACACACACACACTGCAGACACACACACTCTACAGACACACACACTCTACAGACACACACACACTCTGCAGACACACACACTCTGCAGACACACACACACTCTGCAGACACACACACTCTGCAGACACACACACACTCTGCAGACACACACACACTGCAGACACACACACTCTGCAGACACACGCACTCTCAGCAGACACACACTCTCTGTAGACACACACTCTCTGTAGACACACACACTCTGCACACACACACTCTGCAGACACACACACTATGCAGACACACACACACTCTGCAGACACACACACTCTGCAGACACACACACTCTGCAGACACACACACACTGCAGACACACACACTCTGCAGACACACACACTCTGCACACACACACTCTGCAGACACACTCTCTGCAGACACACACACTATGCAGACACACACACACTCTGCAGACACACACACACTCTACAGACACACACACTCTGCAGACACACACACACTCTGCAGACACACACACACTCTGCAGACACACACACACTCTGCAGACACACACACTCTGCAGACACACACACTCTGCAGACACACACACTCTGCAGACACACACTCTGCAGACACACACTCTGCAGACACACACACACTCTGCAGACACACACACACTCTGCAGACACACACACACTCTGCACACACACACACACTCTGCAGACACACACACACTCTGCAGACACACACACTCTGCAGACACACTCTCTGCAGACACACACACTATGCAGACACACACACACTCTGCAGACACACACACACTCTGCAGACACACACACTCTACAGACACACACACTCTGCAGACACACACACTCTGCAGACACACACACTCTGCAGACACACACACACACACTCTGCAGACACACACACTCTGCAGACACACACACACTCTGCAGACACGCACTTTGAATTATAGAAGAGCCAACTGCACGCAGCTCTGGTCAAGGCGCTGGTGCAGTGCAACCTGTGACGTCTCTCGCCCAGGCAGGAATGTTGGCGCGGTGGTTTAATCACCTGTGCCTCGAAGCGAGAAGGGCCTGGGTTCGATTCCCGACCCGGGATGATTTCCCTGCCCACTCTCCCCCCCAGCCTCCTCCCCATAACTAAATAAAAGCAACAATGTCAATGGTATTGGTCAAACTATCCCATTGCTCAGTAATGACCTTGCAAATTAATAATCTGGGATCAGGACTTGCATGATGAGAACCGGCCATGGTGCTTGCAAATTAATCAACTGGGATCAGGACTTGCATGATGAGAACCTGCCATGGTGCTTGCAAATTAATCAACTGGGATCAGGACTTGCATGATGAGAACCTGCCATGGTGCTTGCAAATTAATAATCTGGGATCAGGACTTGCATGATGAGAACCGGCCATGGTGCTTGCAAATTAATCAACTGGGATCAGGACTTGCATGATGAGAACCGGCCATGGTGCTTGCAAATTAATAATCTGGGATCAGGACTTGCATGATGAGAACCTGCCATGGTGCTTGCAAATTAATAATCTGGGATCAGGACTTGCATGATGAGAACCTGCCATGGTGCTTGCAAATTTATAATCTGGGATCAGGACTTGCATGATGAGAACCTGCCATGGTGCTTGCAAATTAATAATCTGGGATCAGGACTTGCATGATGAGAACCGGCCATGGTGCTTGATGCGCGAGTGCGCGCTGGTTGGGTTCGTGGAGTTGTTTTTGTTTATTTTCAGGGTATTCGGTCCCGCTGCGGTTTTTACCATCCGGATGCTTCAAGCAGAACCCGACCCCCTGCGTGACATGAAGGAGATTTGAAACCGAACGGAGTTCCCATTGCGTGGGAAGCGTTAGCAGAAATATATTTTTGCACGAAACAATGGTACCCCCCCCCCCTCCTCTCCTCGCCCCGCCCCGCCGCTCTGTATAGCTTCGAAGAGCGATGGGGCAAGGGCCGCTATAGGTAGCAGCTGTTTCTCCACAACCGGACAACGTTGTCTCCCCAAAGTGGCAATGTTGACACTCCCACGAAGCCCAGGACCCGTTCGGATAACGCTCGCCCGCTGTCGTTAGCCAAATGCTGGCAATCGAACTCGGGCCATCGGTTTCGTAGCGCAGAGCGTTAGCCACTGCTACACCGCTGGCCACAAAAAGCTCGCAAGCACGCAAGGATCCCCCCCGTATAGCCTTCATAGATGTTGGGGCAAGTGCTGTTATAGCGAGTAACACCTTTGAAGGCTGGGACCGCACACGAGGGGGTGGGTGGCCAGCACCACACCCAGCCGCCTTTGTCTCCCCCAGTGGCGATGATTACACACCGCACCAGGTATTCATTTGAGGCTGAGTCGACCTAGGGGAGACCCAGGAAAATCGTCACTGGTGTTGGCCGTGAGCGGGAATCGAACTCGGGTCGCCGGGTTCGTAGCGCAGCGTGCTAACCAATTAACAACGGCAAGCAGACACGTGTGTGCATACATACAAATGCAAAGACAAAGATCCCCCGTATAGCCTGAACAGACTGTTGGGGCAAGTGCTGTTAGCGAGCACCTATGAAGGCCGGCACGGCACACGAGGGGGTGGGTGGCTGGCACCACGCCGGGCCGCCTTTGTCTCCCTAGTGACAATGTTTACACACTGCACCAGGCACTCATTTCAGGCTGAGTTGACCTAGGGGAGGCCCAGGACCGGTTCAGATAATCGTCACTCGGTGTTGGCCGTGAGCGGGAATCGAAACTGGTTCGCCAGGTTCGTAGCGCAGCGCGCTAACCGCTACACTACCGCTCCCCACTACATACATACATGCATGTATATACATGCATAGACGATAACAGAAAGGTCCTCTGTTTAACCTGATAAACCACCGCAGGAAGTGTTGTTAGTGAGCACCTATTAATGCCAGAATGGTACACCAGGAGATATAGTCTGGCGAGCACCCCCTCCTGACCCCTTTTGTCTTCCCAGTGCTGAAATGAATCGTCATTCACCAGGTACTCATTTCAGGCTGAGGCAACCTAGAGAATGCCCAAGCCGGGTACATATTACAAAGAACCACTCTCATCGTTGTTGGCCAGGAATTGAATCGGGATAGTGGGATTGTAAAGTTAACCTTTATGGAAAAAGTTAAATCTAGAAAACACTCCGCTCCTAGGGGGAACCCTCTCTCGAGCTCTCTCTCTCTCTCTGTCCTCTCGAGTGGGAGGCTCTTCTACCAGCTGCGGCAATTTCAGGGCTGCACCTCTAGCTTCCTGTATGCTTGGATACAAGTGAGGAACCAATCATCACGTGGACGCGAGTGAGTGTTGGGTTATTCATCTCTCACAGCTCGGTGTGTGCCCACCGCTTAACCCTGAACTTGTCTCTTGTTTTCGCAGGAAGCAAAGGGCGACTTCTCAAGGTAAGGAAAGCGTCGATTCATTATATTTGCTATTTTCACGTTACCAGGTAAGGCCCACTGAGTTATATACAGCTCTTTTGTCAGACGCGACTTGTCCATCACAAATGATAGCTCAACGAAGTGGCTTACCGCGTGCAATTTCATACCAGCAGCCAAATACTCTAAAGCGCACGTCGATTCGAAATGTGGAGGGGAAAAACCCCGGAGAAAAATCCACGTGACCACGGGGAGAGAGACACGCAAACTCCAAATATACAGCAGCAGCAGGCGTCAGGGTCGGAATCGAACCCACGACCTCCTGCATACCAGGCGAGGTGGTTAACATCTCCTAGCCACCGTGGTGATGATAGTGATGAGAGAGAGATACGCAAACTCCAAATATACAACAGCAGGTGTCAGGGCCAGGATCGAACCCACGACCTCCTGCATACCAGGCGAGGTAGTTAACATCTCCTAGCCACCGTGATGATGATGAGAGAGAGACACGTAAACTCCAAATATACAGCAGCAGGTGTCAGGGTCGGGATCGAACCCACGACCTCCTGCATACCAGGCGAGGTAGTCAACATCTCACCACAGAGAGTGAGACACAGACTCCAAAAGTACAGCAGCAGGCACAAATGATAGCTCAACGAAGTGGCTTTATCATGTGGAACTTTATAGCAGCAGCCAAATGCTCTCAACACGTGATGTTCAGTCTAAATGTGCGGGGGGGAAACCGGAGGATCCGGAGAAAAATCCACGCGACCAAGGGAGAGAGAGACACGCAAACTCCAAATATGCAGGTGTCAGGGTCCGGAATCGAACGCACGACCTCCTGCATACCAGGCGAGGTAGTCAACATCTCGCCACCCTTCCTTGCTTTGATCGGCGGAATGAGCGCGCGTCACACGAGGCGCACGTCGGCCTGATGAATATTTCTCGCGGATCTTAAGTCGGGGCGAAAAACAAAAAATCGGAGCAAATTTTACACCGCTTCCTCGCGTTCGATGCAGTCGATTCATGCAATGCGATTTTGATTACGTGCCAAGATCCACCACGGCAGGAAAGGATTATGTGTAATGAATATCACGCTGGTCTTGCAATCAATTAATTGGGGGGGGGGGTGGTTACAAAGTCACGTTGGACCGCCCTGTACATTTCCACATTTTTCCAGAATACAAAGCTGCACGCTTCTTTGCCGTAACGTCTCAGCTCTTGGTCTCTTTGTTTTTGACAATGTCCATGATTACGATCAATATGTCATTGCAGGAAATATACACCGATTAAAACGCATTCTTATTTCGACACACTGTGCGTGTTGCTTTTAAATCAGCAAGAACAAGTTACTCTCAGGTGCCTCATTATTTGATCATTTATCCCAGTTCGCGTTCGTGAATCGCCCGGGGCATACGTTGTTGTGTGTGTTGTCACAGCTTAAATAATTGATATAAATTGATTAAATTGGTACGGCCTTACTCCGCTGTATGTGTGTAAACATGTACGTGCCCGTCGGGAGCGGTATCGTAGTGGTTAGCGCTACGCTGCGCTACGAACCCAGCGATCCGGGTTCGATTCCCACTCAACGTCCAAAACTAGTGACGATTATCTGAACCGGTCTCGGCTCTCCCCGAGGTCGACTCAGCCTTAAATGAGTTCCGGGTGCGGTGTGTAAACATCATCACTAGGGAGACGAAGGTGGCACGGGCGAGGTGCTGGCCACCCACCCCCTCGTGTGCCGTGCCAGCCTTCATAGGTGCTGCTCGCTAACAGCACTTGCCCCAACAGTCTGTGAAGGCTGTACGGGGGATCTTTTTACGTGCCAGTGATGTGTGCAATAAACAGACGGTCGGAGCTATGCTGAAAGGTGTAGCCACATGGGGAAACTTGTAGCTCTTGCCACGTGTTGTTAGATAAACCGCCATATGGTATAATTATGAAAATACGGTGATGTAAGTGATGAGATCAATTGCCCTTTTCATCATGCCTAATCGGCTAATGCGGATTTGTTCAAATTGCGAAATGAAATGTCATTTAATCCATCGCACAATGGGTTTTCATAATCGACGTTATTTCATTTCGGCAATTAAATAAAACACCGCCGTTGTCTGCGCTGGCATTCATTTCATTATTCGCCATAATTCTCCGACGGAGCGCATGCTATGGGATAATTGCTTCGCCCTTGCTTAAATTTACGCGCGCACACACACACATGCCGAGCAGAATCAGAATATTTATTTAACCTGGAGGAATCCGATGAGCCATGAAGCTCTTTTTCACAGATGTCCCGTAAGGGGGGGCACGGGGGCGTCGGCAAGTTACATCAACAAACAATACTTTTGTTTAAACTACATGACAGCAAGATAGAGAAAGAATACGTAAGCAAGTTGCGATGAATAAATATGAAGAAAAGAAATAGAAAGTAATCCAGCGCTTGCATGTGCAGGGTGCTTCAAAACAATGTTAACACTAACGGGAAAATAACGGATAATACACTGTAAAGTACTTGATTTTAAGCTTTCGTGATTGCAGGAATTACTCTTTCGTTCTTTCGGTAAAGTAACGTAGAAGGAAAATAAATTAAATAATAGCACACGACGTTTCGATTGCAACACTAGCAACCGTCATCATCAGGTAGAACTAAATTTGAGAGAGACAACGCAAATGTAGTTCTGCCTGATGACGGTTGCTTGTGTTGCAATCGAAACGTCGTACTCTATCATTCAATTTATTTTCTTCCTACGTGACTTTACCGAGAGAACCAAACTGTAACACTGTGACACGATAACAAATGTAACGTTAATAGCTTCAAAAAAAGTCAAAGAGTCTCCCCCACGTGTTCGCCATCGTCGTCAACACGTGGCCTGGAATCTTCTCCGGGTGGTCTCCAGAGCCCGGAGGAGGCAGCAGCACATGTCACGTGGTGTTGTTGCACATTCTCGGAAGTGTTAACATTTTTTTGAAGCACCCCGTGTTTGCTGCTGTCCTCGAGACCGTTGCCAGCTCACGGAAACCGTCCCCAGTGATGGGGCTGGGCCAGCGGTCCGGCAACCAACATAACAACAAGAGGCAATTTGTATTCGAATTCGGTGAAAGAAACAACAACAAAAAAACCCTCAATATTTCAAGAGCCACAATGCGGTGTCTGGTGAATACGAGACGGTGGTGGCCCTTAATAAATAACGCTCACGAAGCTGTCCCTCGAGAGAGAGAGAGAGCGAACCGCATGCGCCCCTGAGACGCAGGTTGCCGACCCGTGTACTACAAGGCCTAAGAAGGGGTAATTTAAAGCGTGTCACCAACAATATGTGCCGTGGCGCAACCGTCCGCGAAATGATACACCGGGCGAAACTAACGGCCATCGCTCCAACGCCCGACTCTCATAAATCCATCCGCACGAGCTTCAAGGGTGACTGATGCTAATTCTTTGGTGGTGGTGGCGGCGGTGGTGGCCCTTAGGGGCTTCAGCTGGTGCATCTACCGGCCATCTCAGGTCAGCCAACCCATGGCACCTGGGTCCGTCCCGAGACCTCCTGCCAGCAGCGAGCCTTCGACAACTTCACGTGGCCTCAAAGTGCACCCGGCCTGGCACAGGTGCTGCGGTGACGTCACTGCCACTTCGTGGCAGGCGGCAGGGGGCATTGTTATCGGTTGTGGCGGCGGCGGCGATGCGCGCGGCTTGACTGTAATCCAGCGCTGTGGGGGGCCCAGCAGCGAGAGATGGTGGATTCACCACGGACATCACGAAGCTCCCGCTCCCTTTGCCATGAGCGGGTGCCCAGGAGGAGCCCGCGGGTTCCCTGGTTCGTCAGGAGAAGGCGGCACGGCAAAAAAATGTGGAACTCCAATTGTTCCGTCTCTGCGGGATAGGGGGTGGGTTTTTTTCCCCTTCCTACTCACGCGCGAGATTTCTCCGGCTGCTCCGGTTTCCTCCCCCCGTCACACGTCAGCGCTCGTTTAAGTGGCCGATGACACCTTCATAGGCAGAGGATCGCAGATCTTGGACAATTGTTGGCGCTGGCTCATCGCGTGGCCTTGCTACCTTCCTGCTCGTCCGTGAGTCCTACCTGGATCCTCTTGAGCCGTCATATCGCTCTCTCTCTTTTGCTCTCTACGGCAGTGAGCGAATACCGTTGGCGGCAGGGCGTTAGAGGTTCAAGCTGTTGATGTTTTTATTATTTGTGTTTGTTCCACGTGGAAAGTTAGGGAGGCGACGCCTCGCTTAGCCAGCTCGTTTCTCGCGCACTTGGCGGCTCGCACGCCCAGGGGTTCTTGTCTCACGGCACGCGCCGGAGTTGTTGCCGGCCGGCAGGCTGGCGAGAGGGCGGGCGGGCGGGCGGATAGACCGGCAGGATGAGAGTGAATAATTTATAAGGAAGTGGGAGCGTTGGGGTTGGGGGAGTGTGTGTTGGGGTGGGGGGACTGTGGAGGGGTGTTTGTGGGGGGGAGTGTGGGGGGGGGAGTGGGGGGGGTGACTGTGTGGGGGAGGGGAGTGACCGTGTGACCGTGTGGGGTGACCGTGTGTGGGGGGGGGGGGTGACCGTGTGTGGGGGGGTGACCGTGTGGGGTGGGTGACCGTATGGGTGGGTGACCTGTGGGGGGGGGGGGGTGACCGTGTGGGGGGGGTGACCGTGTGGGGGGGGTGACCTGTGGGGGGGTGACCGCGTGGGGGAGGGGGGTGACCGTGTGGGGGGGGTGACCGTGTGGGGGGGGGTGACCGTGTGGGTGGGTGACCGTGTGGGGGGGTGACCGTGTGTGGGGGGGGGTGACCTGTGGGGGGGGTGACCGTGTGGGGGAGGGGGGTGACCGTGTGTGGGGGGGGGTGTGACCATAATAATATTTGCATTGTCTTTGAAACTGATTGGCCTACACCGCAGACAGCCTTCTTCATGGCCTTGTCCCACCAGTGTCAGACCAGAGAACGCCAAAAGGTGAACAGCACCAGGACAATGCACGTATCAGAGCATTTATATCTCGGGGTGAGCAGCTATAGCATGGGACCTTTTTAGTGTTTGAACATC